TGACTTGCCGTGTTCAATATTCGAAAAAAGTTTGTATCCTCAGCAACGTACAATATTGCAAACTACAAATTTAGGCTCTATTTTCCCTAATGAATTGGTAGCTTTAGGTAATATTATTACTTGTTCACGATGCTCAAATAATATTAAAAAAACAACACTCCACCGTAGGCCTATTGGAATAAAATGTCGGTAGCTGCAAGGCCTACAGAAATCGATGACTTATCGGAAATTGAGAAACGTTTTATTTGCAGAGTAGGTAGTGGCATTTCTTAAAATAATAAAAGTTCAAAATCGTTTGAGCCAAGACTGGTGCAAAGGGCAGGCAATTATTTTTGTTTAGGATGTGGTCGAGCTGGCGAAGCAACTTCCGCTTGAACCTAATCAAACTGGATTAGTGCTTGTAGTAGAAAGTCGTGAAAATTTAGAACGTTCTAGGGAGTTTCAAATAGATGTAGGTAAACTTCAATTAGCATTGCAGTGGCTCCTAATGAATAATGCACTCTATAAAGATGTTCGCACCTGCACCTGGTCATGATAGTGAAGAATCAATTGCTGAACGGTCAACTGTACCTACAAATAACTATACTGCCTTGAGTAACAATGTATCTATATTATATGGTTCTTTTCGTCAGGACAATGAACGATTTAGTCCAGAGTCACGTGGTCGGCAATGCGCAGGGATTGCAACTGTTGCTAGTGTGGCATTTTCTCTGATAAATCCCAATAATTGGTGCAAAAGCAACATAGATTACATGTTATTGGTAGGAGATAAATATTATAGACTGTATTGCGGCTCGGGCTAACCCCAATTCCGAAGAAGCACATATCGAATATTTGGCTGCAACTGAGCTTTTACCTAATATCACATACAACAATCGAAAAGTTGATATCAATGTTCGTCATGAATCAGCCTTTAATGGTCACGTAGACAACGACAATAGTGAAGAAGGATTTCCCAATTTGTTAAATGCTCTAATAAACGTATTTGCTACATATGGGATGAAACCTCCAGATAATGTTGTTTCAAAATAATAAAGATGTGAACAATTGTAGTGGACTTTTATCTGAAGTAAAATTAGCTGTCGAATTTCGTGTGATGTTGAGACGTAACAATCAGTATCTGACGGGCTCGTCAATGGTGCTATGGGTATTGTAAAAATAATAAAATAGCCATCACTACGCAGGGATCAACTAGAGGAAGGAGAATTACCGGATTGCGTATTAGTAAAACTTAACGATGAAAGCATAGGAAGTAGACTAAAAGATAGCGATGGTTGTGTCGCCATACCTTAAGTGGTAGCAACTTTTTAGGGTAAGAAGGGTAATGGCGATATTGAGCGCAGGATGTTGCCGATAATTTTATGCTGGGCCGTCACGGTTCACAAATTACAAGGTGCGACCCTTGATAAAGCTGTAATCGACCTCGAAAAGAAAGTGTTTGCCAAAGGACAGGCATATGTGGCACTGAGTAGAGTAAAAACACTTGAGGGTATTGCTATATCTGATTTAGAGCCAAATAAGGTATTACACAAACCTCACGATGAACGAGCTTTAGCAGAAATGCAGAGACTGAGAGGTCTACACACAAGAGACTGACAGCTCTAAAGCTCATTCATCGTGAGGTTTTTTTGTAATGTAATGTAGTGTAATTATTATGTAATGTAGTGTAATTATTATGTAATGTAGTAATACACCACTCAGAATTAAAATCTGTGAGTAAAAAATAAATCAACCCTATTTTCCCACCCTTAGGGTAGACATTTTTTTTCCAAATTTATATGGGACCAATTTCGAGGTATACCCTATCCAATAAAAAAAGAATTATCAAAATCGGACTACTCTGTAAAAAGTTATGCGTGGTCATACATAAAAAAAATATACACGTCGACTTGAGAACCTCCGTTTTTTCGTCGGTTAAAAATGGATAATGTTTACATGAGCATTATTTGTTATTTCTATCGTAAAATATAAAGTAGTTTGTAACAAGAAAACTTTAGCTAAGGGTAACACGCCGTCCATTATGACGTCTTGGGTCACATGGAAGCCAGATGTTAATGGTGTGTTGGTGTTACTGGATGCTACTTCATCATCACTTTCATCTTCGCTTGAGCTTCCGTCATCAGGTTGATCACATGGTAATTTTTTCGGTATTCTTCCTCCACACTTTTAACTTTACTGCACAATTTTCCCCATTCACCTTCTCCTATCATATTTACCTTTTCGATCACTAGTTTAGTCATAAAACAATAGATATAAATAATTTTTCTTTCCTTCCTTTTTAAAACATCGTCGCGAGTCGCAAAGTAAGCTGTGTATGCGACTGTATTTTTGGAGCGAACAAAGCGCGGGAACCAATAGCATGCAGGCACACTAATACTGGCAGATTGTTCCCCCGTCGCGCGCCTTTCGTACCAATATGTGATAAATCGCTCAGTGCCCAAGTTCAAGGCCAGCGTTTGTTTTCACCGTTCGCGCGTACATTAACCTCCATTAGTCAGGTGATATCAATTCAGTTTCCACTGCTGGTTTTATGTATCAGTATTTTCATGATATTTTTTATGAAATTATCGTTTCATTTAGCTGTACTAACATGATGGCGCGTGAATAAAGCTAATAAAACGTTGTTAAAAGATGATTTTTTTTTCATCAGGATCGACTTTATTTGTAACCCATGATCAAAGGTATACTTGGTGCTGTCGCCTGTCTTAGTTTTCGGGAGCGTTCCAAAAATACCCTGTATGTTAAGTACAGGAAGAAAATAGGAAAACAAAATATTTTATTTATTTATTAAGACATTATTTATTGCAAAATAAATTGACAGGTTATAGATGGTTATGTTATATAAATTATAAAGCAACCTTTCTGCATTTTTGTGCTGCAAATTCTTTTATTTGGTCATCGCACTGTAGGTCCTTTGTTAAATCGCAATTTATCGAAAGAACTGATAAATGATTTAGTCGATAGTTCGACATTGTTGTCCTGTATTTGTTTTCTATATACGACATCCTGGAGAAAGAACGCTCCGCTTCACAGCTAGTGATCGGCATCGTTAAAAAAATCTTTAAGATGGTATAGCAGTTTGGGAATACATCAACAAGTTTCTTTTCATAAATTAGCCAAAAAATTTCACTGCAAGAGGTGGTAAGACTCTGTCTTAGACTGCAGTAAGTAAGATTTTAACTGAATGCACTCATTCACTAAATGTTCGTCTACGTCATTTGGATAATAATCAATAATATTACGTACACTTTCTAGATCTATGTATTCTTGATTTCTGTCTTGCAAATCCATTAAAAATTTAAATTTTTTGCTATAGGTCTCATAGGCTTGGCTTCTATTATTTAAATCCACAATCATCTTAGCCAACGCAACGTTAAGCGTGTCTTTTTTAAAATTTTCTGCGCCGTTTACTGAGAATTTATCTGTAGATTTATCTGAAAATTTTGAAGTAATGCGTTAATTTATGTCACTGTAGTCTGTTCCCACACTAGTACTTAATTTTTTAGCTTTCTCTTCGTATTCCTTTAGCTTCTAATCTGATTGTTGCCTTATGTTTTTCACGAACTCTTTTAATGACACAATTAACTTATTGCCTTCACCAGGGCTCTGTACTTTTTTATTAACCACATTAAATCTCTCCAAAATTTCTTCCCAAAAAAACAATCAAAATTGCAGTTTCTAGTTTCGCCAGTTTATTAGCATTATATATAACATTCTGCAAGAAAACTGCCTTACAGTACCTAAACTGCAAAGTTTTTTAGTACAAGTCAAGGTAAAACTAATAAAAGCAATGTCCACACGTTAAAATAAATAACAAAATCATTTCCTTCATTAGAGTAAGATAATCTATAAGATCAAAGTAAACCTTAGATTAAAAAAAAACCAAAAGTAGTGATGTAAATGTCTTTCACTTTAATTTATAGTTAGCTGCCACGGCAGGAGTTTAATGTTTCAGTTTCACTCCGAATTCAGTCTGGACATTTTACAGTGTAAATATGAAATGAATTAATAACTCAACTACAAAAGCCATCTCGTACGGAATAATAGAACGAGTAAAAAAACCTTTCCGTGCCTTATGTGCTAATTGAAACTGCATTTATTCTGAAGAAGCTGATTCAAAAACCAAAAAAAAAATAAACTTTCAAATATGAAACAAATGGGAGGTTAGTGGAAACAGACCAGACCATGTTTTTTTTATTTAATCGATTGCTAATGTTTTTCCTTTTTTCGTTTCGATGTTTATTGTGTTCTTGTTAGAGAGCCTATTAAAGTCAACTGCTGATGCTGAACATAGGCCTCATCCATAGATTGCCTCATAGGGGGGGATATTTGCCATAGTTGCCACGCTTGGCAACACAGTTTTTTTTTATTTTCTTAGGAATACGGTGCTGCACGTCTTCTGATTTGTTTCTTTCTGTCGCCTCTAAGACACACACGGGATGATAAGGGCTTGTGGATATTCTTATATCTATATACTATATCTAGGCCACGGAGGAAATAAACCAGGAGATGGGCAGCAGCGTCTTCCTAATAACAAATAAAAATAAAAAACCGCGGTTGCCCACCCACCTGCATGCCAACTATGGCAAATATCCCCCCTATGAGTCAATCCGTGGGGGAGGCCTATGTTCAGCAGCGGACTTTTATAGGCTGTAACGGTAACGATAAATGTCGAAACGAATAAATAAAAACAAACTAGTATGATTTAAATAAAATTTAAAAAAAAACATGAAGTCTAGTCTGTTTCCACTAATCACTCTATACATATTTCAAGGTTAGATTTCACTTGGTTGCTTCTTTGGTTTTTGAATTAGCTTCTTCACAATAAATGCAGTTTCAATTAGCACATATGACACGGAAAGGTTTTTCTACTAGTACTACAGTTACATAAGGAACTCATGACAAATGGACTTTTATCTAGTATACTTTTATATTTATATAAAACACGTTTACATAATATTGCACATATTTTACCAGATCTCTCACAAAAAAGGTTCTGCTCAAGTGTGTGTGTTCATATGCCTTTGCAAATGACTTTTACGAATACATTGATATTTACAGATATAACACGAAAAAGGTTTTTCTCTAGTATGTATTTTCATATGTGATTGCAAACTACTTTTTGTAATACACTTATATTTACAGACATGACACAAAAAAGGTTTTTCTCCAGTATGTATTTTCATATGCCTTTGTAAATCACTTTTGTTAATACATTTATATTCACAGATATTACATGAAAAAGGTTTTTCTCCAGTATGTATTTTCATATGCCTTTGCAAATTACTTTTTTGAATACATTTATATTCACAGGCATTACATGAAAAAGGTTTTTCTCCAGTATGTATTTTCATATGATACCACAAATTACTTTTGTGAATACATTGATATTTACAGATATGACACGAAAAAGGTTTTTCTCCAGAATGTATTTTCATATGTGATTGCAAATTACTTTTTGTAACACATTTATATTCACAGATATTACATGAAAAAGGTTTTTCTCCAGTATGTATTTTCATATGCCTTTGCAAACGATCTTTTTTAATACATTTATATTCACAGATATTACATGAAAAAGGTTTTTCTCCAGTATGTATTTTCATATGATACCACAAATTACTTTTGTGAATACATTGATATTTACAGATATGACACGAAAAAGGTTTTTCTCCAGTATGTATTTTCATATGTGATTGCAAATCACTTTTATTAATACATTTATATTCACAGATATTACATGAAAAAGGTTTTTCTCCAGTATGTATTTTCATATGCCTTTGCAAATTACTTTTTTTTATACATTTATATTCACAGATATTACATGAAAAAGGTTTTTCGCCAGTATGTATTTTCATATGCTTTTGCAAATGACTTTTTTGAATACATTGATATTTACAGATATGACACGAAAAAGGTTTTTCTCCAGTATGTATTTTCATATGATTCTGCAAACTACTTTTTTGAATACATTTATATTCACAGATATTACATGAAAAAGATTTTTCTCCGGTGTGTATTTTCATATGTGTTTGCAAACTATCTTTTTTTATACTTTTATAATCACAATTATTACAACAGTACACTTGTTCAGCGACGTGCGCGTTAAGATGTGCCAAAATGCGACCTTTTTGAGATGTTTTAAATTCGCAAATATCACAATTAAATATTTCCGTTAGTTGTGGTACTGGAGTTTGTTCAACTTGTGTCCGAACTGCAGTGGTGTTCTTTTGGTTCTTTTGCGTCTTATGACTGTATGAAATGTGTTTGGCGAGAATGCCTTTTGTTGAAAATTTTTTGCTACAACCATCACATTCAAAAAAGTCTTTTGTTGATGCCCCTGACGTGTTTTCCGTAAGTATATTTACACTCTTTCGTTTCAAAATTTTCTTTTTCATAATCTTTGCAGGATGCTTTCCTTTTTTATTAATTGGTTGATTATCTTTTTTGACTTTAGGCTTTGATTTAATAGAAGGGCTTTCTAAATCGAGGTTTTCTTTACAAACATCGTTTATGTTACAATCAGTAGAATTTGATTTAATCTTGCTCTCAGACGCTTTTGAAAATTGATTTGTCGGTATGATGTATGGTTCTGAAATACACACGAATTGAACATTTAATTTATTATAAGTAAAACTTTTTATTGTAAGACACCTTAAACACATTCTCTATCAGTCAACCAGGGAGAAATAGATAAATTATAAAATTACATAATTATACAATGTTGCTAGATATAAAGTATTTTACTTTTAATAATGTCTCTCATATTCATTTTTGGAGGGAAAGAATGGTAGAGAAACTAAATTCGAATGATAATGATGACGTTCTTCTCACCATGTTACAATTACCTACATTAATATAATAATAGATGCTTCGAATCGCACACGGGACAAGCATTATACAGAATGATTGGAAGATTGACTTGTTGATTGAAGAAGATCATTTAGGCCATAGTTATTTTAGACAAAGTCTGACTTTAGATACTTTTTGTTTTTGGTGATAAAACTAAAAGTATTTTACAGTTAATTGCTAATAATTGCCAATTAAGTTAATGTTGTTTTCTTTAAATTTAAGTAAAGAATAAGAAATCTAATAAAACATAGTCTCAGCATCTGTGTCAACAGCCATATTTTTGTACAGACACGAAGTTCACGAAAATTTTCTACGATTTAAAGAAACATAATTAACATTTTAAATAATAAACATTTTTGACACTACGTTAAAAAAAAACTGATGGTACTTTAATTTATTGTTAGAACCTTTTTGAAAACATGCTTGCTTATTACTCTTTCATTTGAGGTATAACTTACACGCATTTGTTACAAATTTTTCAATTGTCCCCTAAAACCAGATTGAGGTAGAAAATTTAAATTTTTAGGCAGACTAATAAAAATTCTAATTATTTATTTGTTGATGCTCAAAATAATTGATGCGATTACTAACACAAGCACGGGCCCGTCGTCTCACTTCTGTTGTAGTTACTTTCAACATCATGGTTTCAAATGCTGAATAAATTCTTTGAAATTTGAAATTCCGGCCATATAGCTCTAAGAAATGACAATGAATGAGGAAGTTTTACGAGTGGCAGCCTCGTACCAGTAGACAAAGTGTAGGGCGGCCCTCCATTAGATGGAATGATGACCTGGTAAGAAATGCAGGAAGGCGATGGATTCCTGTGCTTTATGGCATTCCGTGGGTGAGACCTATGTTCAGCAGTGGACTTGTGAAGGCTGTAATGATGAAGATTTATTGATGCAATGCGCTCTGCTGCTGCTGCGAATGGAACACAGCAGTGCACGCACTGCTATTTGACGGCAGAAATAGGTAAGAGGAGGGAGGAGTGCATCTGGGCAGGCACAAATAGAACTCCTAGGCAAACATGATGTCACACCACCTAGTACTGACACTAAGAAGATGGCAAAGATAATTGGTTGCTTACCAGTATGTATTTTAGTGACATACATACTAGCTGACAGGGTAAACATATTTTTTTAATGTATTAATAAGAGTGCTTTTGACATGCACTTTGAATTTAGACAAAGGCAAATCAGTAAATCAGTACATTACACATGAAGCCCTCTTTATTTTGTGTCTACGGGCTACAGTAACCACTTGCCATAAGGTAAATTGTACCTTATTTTAATAATATCAAGAAAAGGGGTATATCTTACTTGTTTCATGATTCTCATTTTCTTCAAATTTGGAATTCTCGAAAATCTCTTCCTCAACTTTAACGGCATCAAGGCAAAAAATTTCGTCCTTGCAATCATTGTCTATATCACACTCTCCAGGCCAGATATCCATATGATAAATTGGTGTGAATTTAATCTCACCTCTAACCTTATGCGGTTTTGGTATTGACTGAAAGGAAATAATTTTTTCAAATAAGAGAAAAAGCCACTATAGTGGTGGAGTAGGAGAACCCATACTACGCCCTGCCATCCCGCAGATGTCATAAAAAGGGGCAGAGGGAAACTGAGACAGGAGATCGGGGGGCAGCATCTTCCTGACAACAACTTCAAATAATGATAAACACCGGACAAAAGTGAGGGTTCAGCGTAAACTTAAATAAGAATGTACATAGTTCATCTATCCCGACAATCGCGTCTCAACAACTTTTGGATTCAGATTCACGAAAGCTGTAAATTGACAAAGATTTATCTTTGTTTATTGAGATTTATTTATATATAATAGGGTAACAGTCAACAGTAATCACATAAGTGGATTGTGCAGTGACGGTGTAAGAATATCCACTATCACAGGGTCGGCAACCTTTTATATTATATGGTATTATTAGATAATTGCTAGTTATTTAAGTAAGAAATTAAAACAAACATTAATTTACATTGTAAGTCTTACAACACTAACTTATACTTCAAGTACAAGCAATTGAGCAAACAAATTCAATGGGAGTTTTGGCTTTGCATGGTTTTAGAAAGTTTGGATAAATTTGGCTCATAACTTGTTGTTTTAAGTTTCAAACACGAATCTGAATTTTCATTTGTTAGTTGGCTTCTTACTTTACTTTTAATTATATTCATGCATGAGAACGCTTGCTCACACAAATATGTCGATCCGAAGATAGTCAGCACTCCGAATGCCAACTTCTTCACCTCACTATAGCAATCTGTCAAACTATTCCACACGTCAAATATAACTCAACTCGCAGCCTTTCTTTTAAAGCTGTTTATTTTTGTTGCGTTACATACATACATTTCTGGACCTCCAACTTTTTCAACTTCCTTATCAACTCTGTAAATTTTCAACTCCACAAAGCTTTACTTTGTAAATCGATCAATTGCATTTCTAGAGATCCAGTATCAACCCCAAATGGTTCAGTATGGATCGAAGTATAATTTTTTTTTATAAAATAAATAATATTTGCGTATGAAACTAAAGAGCCACAGCTTCACATCCAAAGAGCCGCATGTGGCTCGCGAGCTGCAGGTTGCCGACCCCTGTACTATCCTATATACCTATCCACGGGATGAGTGTCGTAAGAGGCAACAGAAGGAAACAGAAACAGAGGTAGGGCGGCCGCATCTTCCTGATGACAACTTAGACTAATATAAACTACGGTTGCCAACTTGCCAAGTGTGGCAAATTTGGCAAAATTCCTCCTATGAAGCAATCTATGAGTGAGACCTATGTTCAGCAGTGGACTTTTATAGGTTTTAATGGATGGAATGGATAATACCATGGATCCTCCTGAAAGCAACTGCTCCAGAACCACATTTGACTCAATAGCCTGTTGTTGTAATCTTCTGCAACGAATGAGTCTTGCATGACAGGTGAAACAGACAATTATTGGACCCTCAGTCTCATCCAACTGAAAATATGAAAATCTTCATAAATATGAAATAGTATTGAAATACAGTAGAACGCCGTTTATCCGAATGCCGATTAACCGAATCGCCAATTATCCGAATGGGTCCTAAGCTTAATATAAAAAATTATAACCAAGTACAGTAAGTAACATTACTAAGATTACTTACTTATACAATACTTGGTTAACTGATATTAAAAATAACAATGAAAACATTTTAAGTTTTGTGACCGCGTTGGAAAGTGGTGATGGATGTTCGTCGCGAAAAGTAATGAAAAAGGCAAAAGATGAACAGCTTGAGAATGCTGTTTTTACGTGGTTTCTGCGGCAACCATCTATTGGACAACCGATTTCAGGATTGATTTTATGTGAAAAGGTGCGAATGTTCGGTGAAAAAATAGGTGTAGCTGGTTTTACTCTTTATAAAACTTTATAGCGTAAAACCATTTATAAACTTAATAAAGTTTATTCTATGTGTGACAGTTCGTTTTTCTATATTACATACCAGTCTATGTCCGATTATCCAAATTTCCGATTATCCGAATCGACCCCCGTCCCAATTAATTCGGATAATCGGCGTTCTACTGTATATAACTTTGTAATAAAGATTATTGGCTACCACATTTTAATTTGTCAACATAATTTTTTATAATATTGAAGTGACAAATAAACTTACCATCTAGTAAGTGACTAATGGGCATCATGGGCACCTGCAACGAACTTCAAGCAATGGCTACAGATGCAATGTTACCTCTGAGGACTAAGATGTAATGCATCACAGCCTGGCTCTCGATGTCCTTCAGACTGGGACACATACTGCTGCTTGGTGCCAGAAAATGGTAAGAGGATGATATCTAGGCAGAAAGAAACTCCTACAGTTCCAAGCCACCTACATCCATCAACTACATTACCTACATTAACTTCAAACTGCTATCATCACTAAGAACATTACAAATACTTCTCTTATCACTATAAGTGAACTGATAATGCTTGTGGTAGGAGGATATTGAAACAAAACACAGGGTGGTGGGTGGTACTACACATTCCGTGAAAGTGTAGTACCACCCTGGTCGAGCCGACCCATCCATGATACAACCATAATATAGCTGCAGCCCG